ACTCTTTAGTTTTACATAATTCAGAAACTAGACATTAAATTTGACTACTGCTCAGTAAATCTTTGTTTTACATAATACAGAAACCAGACATTACATGAAACTACTCTTTAGTTTTACATAATTCAGAAACTAGACATTAAATTTGACTACTGCTCAGTAAATCTTTGTTTTACATAATACAGAAACCAGACATTACATGAAACTACTCTTTAGTTTTACATAATTCAGAAACTAGACATTAAATTTGACTACTGCTCAGTAAAACTTTGTTTTGCATACTCTAAATCGGATGTTTCCTGGTAGCTCATCTAAAGACAGTCAACAACAACCTCATCCCCCATTCGACAGAAGTTTTAATTTTCATGCCCACTCTGTAAAATACTTAATATACTTATATATTATACAATAATCACATAACATCGCACCCGCCAGAACTGAAACAGGCTTTTTTTTTATTAACCTTTTGATTTGAAAATGTATTTTTCCATTATCAAACAATGTCTATTCTTGCAAATTTCCGAGTATTGTTTTTTTCAAAACATCATCTAATTTTAACTCGTTAAAAGTTTTTTACAAACATTTCAAGTCACTTACTTTGTATCTACTTAAAACTACTTTTCCAAGATAATTTGGGCACGATCCCAGATAATTTGTCTTTGTTCAAAAAATGTGGGTTATTTAGTCAGTGTTTCACCAAAAAATCGCATGTACTATGGAATTTTGAACCGGTTTTATTTCACCATATAACAGCCTAAATTAATCTAGGTATATGAATAATGTTATAACATTTCTTCGAATTCATTATTCAATCTTTAACATACATATATAGAATCACATGTACCGTTTTCGCCCAACTTAACTGTTTTAAAATGCGATTTACTCTAAGTAAGCTACGCATTTGTACACTACTCATGTGTTGGTTGTAGATTTCACGAAACATACAGATTTCAAAATACTCTACATATATATATGCTTGACTGTTTAAGAAGTAATTTTCTATACATATACTGTATATATATATATTTATATACACATATATGTCAAGTTTTCATTATTATCTATTGGCTTTAGTCTAAATTTACTTAAGATTTAAAACTATCAGTGTTAGATAGTTGAAGTCACTTAGTGTTCGTTAAAGAAAAATTATATTTTTAAATATAAATTAATCGGTTAAAACTATCAGTGTTAGATAGTTGAAGTCACTTAGTGTTCGTTAAAGAAAAATTATATTTTTAAATATAAATTAATCGGTTAAAACTATCAGTGTTAGATAGTTGAAGTCACTTAGTGTTCGTTAAAGAAAAATTATATTTTTAAATATAAATTAATCGGTTTTTAACGTGTATTAATGACAAGTTTACGAAAAGAAAACATAATTAAATAGATCTGTATATATCTGTTTAACGAGACTACTATTTTAATATCATCTAATGCTTACTTCGGAGTAATAAATAAACATATTGCCACTATAAACATATGACTAGAACATGTTAGTGTAAAGGTGATTAATTCGGAAAAATATTTACATATTTTATCATCGTTTACTTGTAATTCTAAAAACTAAAGAAAAAATGTCATTCATTCTTCTGACAATTTTATAGTAGATAATTATGATGTTCTGCTTGAAAATCTACAAAGAAAAGAATACCTACTGAATGAAAATATCATAACGTTTTAGGACTTTTGTAAAATTTGTAGATTTTTGAATTATTTCGGACGTACTGTGAGACATTTGAAATCTATTTGTATAATTTTAATCGGCATTGAAACAGGATTCAAAACTAAAGCAGATAGAGAAATAAAAGAAGCTTATTGGATTGCTA